AAGTAATTATGGGATACAAAATATAATATACCATTCATTAAAATAAAAATTATACAGTATACAGGTAAAACATTACTGTAGTCATGTTGATTTTTGTCAACTACAATGGTTATTTTTATAAATGGGTATGCATTCTTGCCAAAGTCATCTTCCTTCAGTCAAAGTTCATTATAATTCATACACCTATTGATTACATCCTATTACTCTGCCTCGTTATTGCTTCGAGACGTTTCTCTGGTTTAAGAGCTTGACTTTTTTTTTTTTTTTTTTTTAAGTTTCAGCTCGTGTAGCTTTAATGTAATCCAAAGATTTGGTAATTTTCATCTTTACTAAACTAATTTTATGTACTAGATTGTGCATAATTCCCAAGGATATTAACATTTAGCAAGACCTATAGCTTGCATTCATTCATTCATTATTATTATTAAGATATAGAAAAATCTGTCAAATACAGATATCTTTTAAATCTACTCATTTCAAAATAATCATTCCCACTAGCACAATAGCAAAGTACTGTACTTCAAATATTTTGAATCAATTACGTTCAACTATTAGTGTTTGAAAGTAAGTTAATTACAAAATGCTAAATTTGAAGTAAACCCTCTATTTTCAATTTTACATGTGAACAAATGTATTTTTTTTAGATACCTGCAGTGTTTGGCAATGAAGGAAAATTTACCCTTTTGATCAAATAGTCATGTTTTCATTCTGGGCAATAAGAATTGAATGGGTAGACAGCCCACAGGCCAGTGGAACTGTATCAATACAAACACTGAAGTTGCTATTGATTGTGAAGGGCTGCATAACTGATGTGTGGAAGAGGTCAAGTGCTAGCCAACATTCCTCTAGAGTGGATATTCAAACATCAGCATTGTCTACTATTATTTAGGAAAAACAATCCTGGAGAAAAAACTAGCTCTACTTTTTTACCAGAAAAAACAAAACAGCGTTGAATGTAACGAAATGCCATTTTCTGGGCGAGACCCGGAGGCTCCCCATAGCTATACTGGGCTGATGTGTATATATTAGACCGTGGCAACAGTCAATCGATGGAGTTGTAAGCCTAACGGGGATCAGCGCCAGAACCTGGTCCCTTCAGAGAGGCACGAGGAACAATGGCCCATAGACACCCCCCCCCCATGTAGTTGGAAGCAGTCTATATCTGCCATCTACCAGATCAGGCACTCAAAGGTAGGAATCCCAAAACAAATTACAGCTGATGAAAAATTGCTAACCTGGTAGATGGCAGATATAGACTGGACCCCAAAGAGGTCCAGGTTCTGGTGCTGGTCCCCGGTAGGCTTAGAACTCCATCGATTGACTGTTGCCACGGTCTAATATGTACACATCATGCCCGGTATAGTTCCGGGGAGCCGAAGGGGCTCTCCACAGAAAGTTAAAAAGTAATGATTTCAACAAATTGAACTTTCTACATAATCAGTTTATATGGTAATGAATATCTAAAATCAACTTGTGTTCACGAGTACTAATCAGCATGTTGCAGGCCTAGCACCCTCAGAGAAAAGCAAATGATAATGTAAAATAGTTTGCATAATGTAATGAGATTGCAATGACCTATTTATGTAAAATTATACCGGTACAAATATATTTGGCTAGAGCTCTACTATCGAGTTGGATGATATAAAGCGAGTTCCTGAAGTGTACTTAATAAAAATATCTTGAAAATGTTCTACTTCTAGAAGGGTTTGATAAGCGTGTTTTGCTTCAATGCTAACAATTAGTAAATCCAATACTGTTATACATGAAAATAACAGTAGTGTAAATATCTTAGAAAAAAGTGATTAAAACCCAAAAAATATCCAACATTATAGAAAAAAAACAGGAAGGGGAAAAATTGACATGAGCAGGAGGAGATTGCATGCAGGCACAGCAGGAAACATTCAGATGGGAAATGGAGTGTATCTGACCCATGGGTGTCATCGCCCCTCAACAACAACATTCAATTCATGTTATTAAAGTTATTTAAAAGGAGAAACTTCACTATTTGTAGATAGGAATATTTATCTTGGCCTTGTATAATATACATACTGTACTCGGTACATATTTTTAGCCAAGTCTTGTGCTATTATCTCCAACTAAGTGTGTGCTGCTAATTACCTCAGAATATTTACTGAAAAAACTATTGTGTGAAACTTTTGTTTAGGACTTTATAATAACCCAGTTAATAATATACTGTACTAAATTTAAATTTATACTACTAACCGTTATATTTCATTAATAATTTGTTTCTTACAGGATGAATTCATCTCAGAACTATGGGGAGGAAAGGAAATTATGGGGAGAAAGCACTAAACTAGTACAACTATAGAATACATAGAAGGAATATGAGGACTTAAGAGAAGTTGGGATAGCAGGGAAGTGGGGGGAGGGACAGTGCCCAACCACTTGGACCATCGGGGATCATGTGCCGAGTTGCTAGAACTGTCACTGTACCGACCAGTCCAAGTGGCTGGACAATGGTCCACTTATTCAGTGTGCCCCTGTCGTGAGAATCCTTAAGCAGTACTTTCTCGGTAATGGTGAGTACTGTATGTACTTAAATAAACCTGTATTTGCAAGTTTAATTCTTCACTGAATTACTCAATGTGCAGGTTAAACTTGCATTGGTTGTAGATAAACAATGCACCTTATCTGATCTGTATTGCTAACCCAGAAATATACACAGTGTACGATTAAAACATCACAATGTTGTTTACCCTTGCAAAAGTAAAATGGCGAGTGAAGGTAGAGAAGCCACCCTGGAGAAGAGTGCCAGCTGCCCAAGAAACCATGCACTATTTACTACTATCAGACTACAAAACAAAAATGTTAGAAAATGAACAGCATATTTTCTGTTTAATTGTAGATTTAAAACTAATAACACATTCCAGTAACAAACTGATACCATTATCTCGTATCAAAACAAATTTGTTATAGAATACCTCTGTTTTATCTAATTTAAGAGTAGCCAGTACTATGTGAAATTAGTAGGAATTAGTTGCTAATGAGCAAGATCTAGCAAAAGTTACCCATTCTAAAACGCAGATCAACCTGAGCCAGCGTTAGTCAGGCTAAGGTGCAAATTGAATGTGATTGCATCAGTCATGTTTATGAAGATATCCATACTACCACAAATTTAATATACCATTTGCCGTTAAATGTGATGTTGCCATGAACTATAGAGATGGTTTATGATTATACTGTATATTGATTAATTTGTAAGTTTATAATGCTATGTGTGGGTGGTGATTCTAGAGAAATGACCAAGGCTTTGCTTGAATTTTTTAGTGCTCTATAAAAAGCTATACAAAAATTTCCTATTGTACTAATTACATTTAGATTTAAGAGGCATTAACAATAATTTGTGTTTTATTTAGGCCGTTATAATACATTACTGACAAGAAGGATTTATTCCCAAGTACTGTACAGAACAGTGATAAAATATATTTATTTTTACATGTGTATATTTATTAGAAGAAAATGGCATTTGAGGAAATTGGGTTAATTTTCTTTTTAAGGATTAACTTTATAAATGCCAATTATTATAAAATAAGAATGGTGATACTAGTATTTTTAACTGTTATTGCAGTTCATATTGTTTTTTTGTTAATGAGGCCAAACAAAAATGAGCACACAAGCACAGTATACTGTGAATATACACACACACACACACACACACAAAACATGTTCTATTCTGTAAACCACAAATAGGAAATCACACATCCAGATGTATGCATCGAGAGACTGTAGCAAGTGACTGGCAGCTTGGTTAGATTCTCTCATTTTAACTCTACCCATACTGTATTTAAAAAAAAAAAATACATGCATAGAGTTCTTGGCCTAGTTTATGTATTGTATTTTTTAAGCATTATCTTGATATGAGCTTTAGCAGCTCTAGCATGTATAAAAGGCTCAACTTTTTGTAGCGAGACCCAACTGCTCCTGTGAAAATTTGCACTTAAAATTTGGGTACTTGTCTGAACACCATAAACCTAGCTGAAGCAAAACCGACTATAAATAAAATATCAGTCTCCGCAATGCCTTCAGTGTTTATTGTAAATTTCTTATAAATTTTTTAGATTATATCTTTGTGCATATGTTTGTTAAAGGTGGTAGCATAGTAATGGCAGATGAGTCACAATGTGGTTATATGATAACCAAAGTACATATCAGAAGATGCGGAATCAACTATGTTTAGGTCCACTCTGGACCTTTATAAAGTCGTGAACTCGATAATTTCTTGACTTGATAACAGTCATGGACGGACCGAAATGTTGTCCTTTCTCCATCTTTTGATGTGTGGTTTGGTCATCATAGTGGTGTCATTTGGTAGACCTGAACTTTAATCTTCACTATCACAACAGTTAAACTTTTTTGGGGTCGGCCTTAAAGAAAAATTGCCAATATGACTTTACTTAGCAATTAATTTATTGATTTTTTTTAAATAAATAAATATATTAATAAATAAGTATATGTACCAGCTTTTCAAATACTGGATGAAAATTAAAAATGTACACACTCAGAATCCCATGACCCCAACTGTATGAACTAGGTAATCAATATGATTTTAAATTTCAAATGAATAATTGTAAAGATACTGAATTCATATTTATTCTGCATACTACCTTGGCTTCGCATTAGGTGGCAAATGGCATACTACTGTACATGTTTTAAATATTCTTTGGTGAAACGGCTTCCAAAACATGACCCGAGTGTTTGCAACATTATTAGGAGGGAAGCCTTGGATACATCAAAAGGGTTAGTATGTTTGAAGTTCCTCAGCTGATCGGTCTTACTTCACGCTCATTGGCAACAGCAACAGTTAGAAGTCTTTTTCTTTTCAGGTTGATCTTTGACAACTTTTTCTATGTTTTGAGACTTCTCGGCTCGTCTGGGAAGCTGCTGCAACAACCACTATGTTAGTCATCACAATCTAGCAAATTTAATGTCAAATACACTGATTAGGAATGGTTCATTATGAGTTCTGATCTTCCTACAGCTACATTAGTGTCCAGGACTCTAATTTAACTTGACTGCATCTTCTATCCCAGACAGATGATCAGATGTAGTGTCGAGATAAATTTTTCACCAAGGGCATCACAAGTCTTTTGTGCAGCCCCTCCCTCTCAAAACTGTCGTCATTTGCTGCATATGAAGGTACTGATGGGTCTCGCCAGCAGCTTCAGGCAGACTAAGATACACATGCATCACTACGCATACTGCTACAAGCACTCATCACACATTTCTAGGTATGTTCTAGAGCAGTGGTTCTCAGAGTGCCAGGACACAAACCTTCCATTGTGATCAAGTTTCCTCAAAGTATATTCTTTTGTATTTTGGAGTTCCTTCCCTCACTGGCATTCCTTCCCTGGTACATATCCATCCAATTAGATTTTAAATACAGGTACTGTACCTCACTCGGAAAGTCAAGTGCCTTCCCCTTTTGAGAACCACTGTTCTAGACGGTAAATCCTTAATATTTAACACTGGTAAAATTGAGATGATATTTATGCATGTCTTTTTGTTGCCCCAAAGCCTCTTCCAACATGGAACAGAGGACCAAATCTTGTACAAGAGCATCTTGCAACACACCACACCTAGGTCTGCCCAGCCTAACTGCAGGAGAATAATGCCTTAGGGCAGCATGCACTACAGGCAGAGCAGTGTGTAGATGAAGCTACAAGCAATACCACCTATCAAAACACAACGCACATCACAGTACGGCAAGCCGTCTAATCCACCTTCTGCAACGGAAATAAGCAGAAACATTTAGTCTTGTTTATAACTGCCATCTGCTTTGTTGAAGTATATTTTAAAAATACTTATTTATAAGTGCTGGAATAGGAAATATTTTAAATTTGGTCAACAGTAAAATTATACAAAGCAGAAGAGTATTTTAAGTTAATAATGAATATATAGAAAGTGAAGCATAATTTGGTTGAAAGTGATGAGAGAGGCAGCATGCTATACCTACATAATGCAATTACTGAAAATTAAGTGGCAAATAGAATTGCTTCTATAGCTTTTATAAAGTGTATACATGGTTTCATATCAATTTTGAGCAAGAGGAGAACAAGCTTCATTCCATATATGTGCAAGTGAACTGAAGATCCATGCTCATTAAAAGTTATGTGGAGTGTTTAAAGAAAAGTTAATCTAAAATGGCCTAGATACTTAACAGAAAAGCTACACAAGAAAATTGAAATGTTCACAGCAGTAATGTATACTCAATAATGATCATTTACTAATATAAATGACCATAAACACAAACTAGCATACAATAATGATTTTAAAATTCTCTTCAAAGTAAATTATGAGAATTGTTTTGGTGTATAGGGATGCATGTTATGCTTGCTACCATTAGCTCGCCATTCATGACACTTATCACATGATTACAGTACTTTGGTCATACACATTAAATCTATCAAAATCCCTCGCTCCTTTCTACCAGCCTAGTACTTCCACCAGATTTTATCTAATAATAATGGGCATAATGTCTCAAAACCACACCACCAAGAGGGTTATTGCTAAATCATAATGCATGACCAAATTTTAACTTTCAGTCTCTAGTAGAAAGTGGATTATTATTTTAACCTTCAAAAGTGCAGTCATTGTTTGTTGATCTTCTGAACCACTGCAGTTATTGTAATATGACAATTTTCATTATTATTGCCAAGTCTTTATAAAAAATGATGATATGGTTATAAAAGCTCTATACAGATGCACCATTATTGACCGAGAGCTATCAGATGATTGTCATTTCTTCTGGTGGAAATGTGGATGCCCTGTGGAAGCATATCTGGGTCATGGCCTACACGATCATGATCTCACGCCTGCATCAAAGTTCAGTTAACTCTAGTGTTTTCCTTTTCTTTGTCCTCTACCAACAGCCTCCCCCCCCCCTCCATCCCTGTTGTGCCAATGCAGATTGTCACCCTTGACCTGACTGTCATGATCTAATACTCTGGAATATATCTTGCCTTAAGAAGCTTTGGAACCAGGATATCTTGTCTTAAGGAGCATGGGAGTGTCATGCTCAGAATGAAGCTTTTCGTATTCATTCAAAGCCAAATTTTGTTATTAATTTTATCATGTAGCTAAATATAACTTATATTGTATATACATATATTTCTTCGCCCTATGCTTATATTATTAGACAAATGGTATATTTGTTTTTAATTAGCATTTTAGAACTAACCATGATGCTTTGCATGCCATGAGTATTATAATTAATGCTCGTTATAAGTTAGAATCTTTACAATTTGTATATAGTTTAGAATTAATGTTAATTAATATTTTGATTGTAAAGAACTGTATGTTAGTACTGTACTTCAGAAGTAAAGAACCTTTAAGTTCAAATATTAACGTTAACCTCTTATTACTATTGTAATTTGACATTCTTCACATACCCTTATTTCCATTCTGAAACACTGAATAATGGCGAGTTTTCAAAGGGCTATAAAACTTGATAAATGTACACATTAGCCATGAAGCATTATGTGCACTCTCTATAAGAAGATAGCCACTTCATTTGAAACACTTACATATTTAATGCAATTTTATTATAGTTGCGCGTGTACTGTTATCACTTTATAAAAAAGAAATACTTAAAATGAGCACTATTAATTTAAATTAATGCACATACATCATGTTCTCTTCACGACAACCTACAAACAATATATTCACAACGTATTTGCCACTTTTGTGTATACTGTACTGTACTTTTTTTAGCATTTTATTACTATTTACTGCAATCCATCACCACTAATTTTGAGCACAAAACATAAATTTTAGTTTACAAAGTATTACTATCATATTACAAGCCATCCTCCTGTTTAGATAGCACTTTTTACAACTATGTGGCCCATCGAACTTACATAGACGTAACGGACAAGTAGATAGTAGAAATTGTTACTATTCACTTTATTGAGTTCAAAAAAATTAAACTATAAACCAAACTTAAATATTCCTAGGCTAGGATAGCACATACATTTTACCCAATTTACCTGAATATTGGTAAATAATGTGTGTACTGTATTATACCTCAGATAGCATGTATTAGGTCTAGGGAGGTTAGTTGAATTAAGGTTTCTTTACAGCACCATTACAAAAATGCTTCCGGTTTGTCCAAATTCAGTATCGGGTCCTACTTTCTACTTGCCTTTTACGTCAATCTATGTACAATGATCCTCAGCGTTACTGTAAGTACTACTTACACAGGAGGATGAGCTGCATATTAACACTTGTACCATATCTTCCCCACAATAAATTATTTTACTCAACCTATTACTGTACTGTACTACAAAATCATATCACTAGCCACTGTTTTGTTCACAAGAACTTTTACTTCTGGTATATAAATATTCTAATGAATTTACTATATACTGTTTTATATATCCCAACCAATCTCCTGTACTGGACCGAGTATTTCAACATTTCTTCACGTACCTGCCACATGTCGGGGTTCCATGCAGGAAAGATGGCAGTGAAGGCAGCCGGTTCCTCTCCCTGCGTCACACGTAGGATCACAGTCGAGTCCAGGGTACGTTCTGTCGGATCAGTCTTGACGTAGTTCTGTAACGAATAAGTGTTTTACACCGTGCATTCTATGGTACTGTATATATAAATTAGCTTTAAAATGTTAAGCACAAATTAAACTCATGCTTGCACTTTATTTACAGTTCTACAATAATTTTTAGAATATATATTCTGGTTACTATTTAATTAGTGTAAAGTTTCCCTACTACTCACAAAGATAGTTGCTACAGCTGGAGTTTATTAGCATAAACTTATATTTTTTTACTTATCTTATAAAAAAAATTTGTGATGTATTGAAAGCAGTGCATTTGCTGGGCAAGCATTGTAAACTATTGAATAAACTAAATGCCTAAATATATTACTTGGGAAATTTAACTGAATTTACCAGCGGGCACCATCTCTTGTGACCTCAATGGGAAGATGAAGCTTGGAGTTCACCAAGTTACTTTCATATGGATCTCTTTCCAATATATTAAAAGTAATATTGCACTTATAATTATCCACCAAATTCAAATCTTTCATTCATAAATATTTGTACATAACTGAGTTAGTGTACACAGATTTATAGTAAATTAGTTACCTAGGAAAGTTGTAACAACATAGCGTGTAATATCTATAATTATATACTGTACTGTACTGTACTGTATAGTAAAGATTTAGATTTAAAAGCTACATTTATAAGCGAATTAAAAATCATCACAGCTATAAGAATCTGAAAATGTTCGTAACAACATCTCTATAAATCACTACAATAACGGTAATACCCTTTTGAGAGATGAATGGCTTTATATTTTCCATAATTTTGAGCTCCAATTTGAGCTCAAATCTTACAAATCAAAAGAGCTCCTTATCTTACCTCTGCCATAGCAAAGGCTTTCTCTTTCTCCTGGTCATCGGAACCTTGTCCAACCCAAACATAGATTTCATCGCCAGAGTCCAGAACCATAACATCATCCTCATTCAGGTCCTGTTGGGATAAATTAACTTAGTAAATGAATGTATAATGCAGTACTGTATTTCATTACTATCTTGCAGACTAGTCTCAGTAGCTAATTAGTTTAGATTCTTTAGTGGAATCATCAATGCAATAAACACCACATCAAATGCAGTCCACTTACTTCCTGGGAGAAGTTAGACACCTCATTAACTCTGAGGCAGCCAGCAGGAGAGATGGTGCAGTGGAAGAGTCTGGGATACAGCAGAGGTCTGTCTAGCTCGCGAACATTTTGGTATTCACCTTTACCACCGAGACCAGCCCAGAAGTCATCGCTTTCCTCCCCTTCAGCCACAACCTTGTACATGAATGAACGTTAATAAACCTCAAACTATAACTTTTTATTCTCTAATGGTGCTTTAAACAAACATTTATGATTCTTTTTGAGAGGCAAATACATTTTTTTATCAGAGTCCTTTTGAGAAGACTCTGAACAAATACTATAATGCTTCAGACCTTAAATTTGAGATTCTCTGCTGTAAAATATATTTTTCTATCAAGTGAAACAAGACTACAGTACTACCGGTTATTCTACTATATTTTGAAGATTTACCGAGAGATATAGTACTGTATACGGAATGAATAGTCTTTAAATTCTTCCCATGTTGGTATAATGTACTAGATTTGTCCAGAAACCCTATAGTTCACTAGCTATATAAGCAATCACATGCACTTCAAATAACATCATATATGCAAGTCATAAATGAGGTATCAATCGTCTTGATGCAGGTGGGACTGGTAACCTGATGGTACCAGTAAATGATGGTATCTTGTTTGGCTTTCACCAATTTACCATCATTTGTCCTAAGACATTCAAGAATTTCTTGTTACAAGACTTCCTAAAAAGTTAAATATCAATTAGGACTTGTAGGTCATTTGCTGAAGCTCTTCATCAGCTCAATACCAAATGAGAAGCAATGCAACCTAAGTTATTATCCCATTAAACTTACAAATGACCTAATTATATTAGGCCCCAGAAGTTCTGTATACTGGAGTCATTATATAATATACATTGTGTGCCTATGATTACTCCATAGTATCATATCTCTAAGGTATGGTGTTTTAATAATTTTTATTTATATAACTTGACAAATAACAATATTGTTGGTGTCTTCAGGGTAGGAGTATGTACTGCAAGGAAGGTAAACCTCTTTAGAGGATCATCATTGTCTCGAATGCCAATGAACCGTTCCCTCAATAATAGCATTTTTTTTTTTTATATTTCATTCCACCTAAAAATATTGGGTCCTGGGAATTCTCTCCTCTCATGTTATGACTGCCATGGGACTAATCATGTGCAAGAGTTCTCTCATTCCTGGGGAACAAAAGTTAACCCTTCTTTCAATTGTAGTGTCCCAGGTGTTTAGTTGATGGAGCAAATGTTTGGCACAATGACTTTGTAAATGACCAATCTTCGCTAAAGTTAATAGTTTGACCTACATGCTCGAGTTATCAAGAAATCTTTGTATACTCTAAATGTAATATTTAGAGAGAAAATATCAAAATCACAAGTTTCCAAGCATTGCTGAACTGTAGCAGATGGTGATACTGACAAGCATTTCTAAATACTGTACTGTACATCAGAATTTTTATTTTTCAAAGGAATATCTTGTGAAAATAACTTATCCAAGTGTGCACGTATACCCACCTGCAGGTCACGACCAGGAGATACCAGCTCTGCAACCTTCTCGCCCATAGCCTTTTCCTCTTCACTTGCTCCCTGGATAGTCAAGGTAGGAGATTTTTTAAATACAGTGAATCATGAAAATATCCACTAAGCATTGCTCTACAAATCTGTTTCTCTCAAATACTGTAGTTATATAAATTTTTTCATTGTCAACTTTGCTGCAATACCTGTATATTCTATTACAGCTATGAGTCCACAAATAGAGTTCAGCAATTTTACAAAGGCAATTAACTTAGTGAGAACTAAATCATGCTGTCAAGAAATCTAGCTACGTTAATGTGTTCAGTTTTTATACTGATTTTTTTTTTTTTTTTTTTTAATATTAACAAGAAAAAATATTTGGAACTAGTAAATCAGACCTTGCCAATCCAGAGGTAAGTTTTTCCTGGTGTTTCCAAAACGAACGCATCATCAGCATTGAGTGAGCCGGCCACCTCAGGCACCTGGACGGCGCGGGTGTCAAAGTCACACGTGCCACGCACCTGCAGCAATGATCACACAAATGTTATACCAAGCACATTAAATACTAGTACAGTATTTAAAAAATATATTCATGCTATTTTCCATAACAAGGTCATGTAATTTAAAGGAAGTAGATATAGCTTATAATAGGAAAGATACCGATGCTCTTGAAAAGCTGAACCAAACATCTTGCTTCAGCATTTGGTATCTATTTCTCAAATTAACTATTTTTGGCTGACTGGTATAATATTATATACCTTTTTTTTCATTAGTTTAATAATAAGTGCTATATCAAGCTGTAAGGGATATCTTTCATAAGCCTAAACAGAAATCTGCTGCATATCAGAAGTTTAACTCCTACAGAGAAATAATAAAATACTGTACTTACCCGGAAGAGTCTTGTACCATCAACATCGTACGTGTCGTGGTCATGTACATTCTTGAAGCCAGAAGCCTTACCACCAAGGAATACCACCATACGACCTTAAAACATTTTTACCATTTTGTACTAATTCTGCTCTACACAAAAGGAGAGCGTTTTACACATCAAGCCACAAAGTAGGTCATCAGATTTATTTGTTATGCAATAATAGTGAAGTAATACTAAGCATGTTAATTACAAAATAAGTAAAGTAAATGTTTTAAACTGACATTTTCCCATCTCAAATTTTAACTACGGAATAATTTTTATTTTAAAGTTCAGACCACATCCTCTATTGATTTGATTATTAATGAAAAATTATTAACTTACCCTTAAAAATTCTTAGGAAATGTGCTGGCTCATATCCTTGGACAAGACGCACTTGTACAGCCTTGCCACACAGCTCATTGTCGAGGCGAACGGTGTGAATAGCGGATGCAGCCCTCTCGTCCTGACTACTGGCACTTCCCTAAAAACAAGGAAATTAAAACAATCGGTGCATCACAATTTATCATGGATTTGCATTTATACATTTCTAAATAACAAAATACTTTCTGCCATAACATTTCAATATTGTTAGTGCAATATATAAGCATTAAATATAAGGAAATGCTCTTTTCTGGGAGGTTTCAGTAGCTTCCCGGTGCATTGATTCTAGTATCACAAACGGTTGAAAAACAATTTTATCATCATTATCATTTTTCCCTAGTACTAATATTATATACAGTAAACATTACCTAAACAAACAGAAAGGGCCAGCATATTAACTATAACTCATGTTAATTATTTTCTTTAAAAGTAGATTGTACTGTACTTTCATTAACTGAAAATTCTTGATGTATCGTGTCATCAGGGTCAAGAATTTATGATTGGCTGTTCATCTTTTACAGTAACTTGCAAACTCCCGATGTATAATTAATAGCAACTAATTTGATAGCTTTAAGACTTGCCTGAAATGGTGTCAGCGGCTTTGTGAGAATGTACTATTTAAACAAAATTCTTTAAATAATAGCACCTTGTAATTTTAAACACATTAAATGAGTATCACACAGCACAAGCTCAAAATAAACTTGAGGAAACTAAGATATCCAAAGTGTACAAGGATATGAATTAGATATCCTCTACCAAGAATGTCTAATTCTGATTATGATTGTATAATTTGAAAGTAAGCTTTTCCAACAGCACTGAACTTACCTGCCAGAAGTAAAGGATGTAACGCTGGTTGCCACTGATCTCGTATGTGTACTTCATGACGTAGGAATCCCCACCAAAGAAGAACCCATAAGCACTTTCATCGACAGGCTCAAGTTCAAAGTTCTCAATGCGCCAAATTTCAATCTGCAAAGATGGACACCAAAGTACAAAAATTTATTAACAGTAAATTTATGAACTTTTAAAAGCACAATATATAATGTGAAAATAACCACACTCGGAGACAATGAAAATATGAAATCTCGAAAAAAATAAAGTAAGGTAATGTGACACTTGAGGAAAAGTTAAGAGTGCCAAAGAACAGACTAATGAGCATATAACCAAAAGTTAATTTTTTATAAACAGGCTTTTTTTTTTTATTACAAACCTTGCCAGAGCCATCATCAGGCATGAAACCAAAGGCAGGACCTGCATTCTTTTGCAAGAGGCGGCGCTTCTCAGCATGCAGGGAGCTAACATTAAAGTCCGTCTCTGTAGCTGTAACTGAAGAGGACAACTGCATTAGTTTCACTTGCATTGTTAAATACCTGCAATACAGTATTCTGTTGGAGGAGCAATACATTTCATATCTCATAGTTTTGTAACCACATATTGGTATATAAAGTCTTCTGTAAATTATCTTATTTCTCGTTTGAAATTAGAAAGAGCCTGAAGAAAGAGCAAAAAGTGCAAATAACAAGTAGACATTTCTGTCACTACATAATATTTCATTTATATGAAAGTACAGTATACACATTTCATTCATGAAATTGGAAAATTCATAGGCAAGACATGCACTTTACATAAAGCCACTAATATGCAGAGCATTTCAGGTATAATGAAAACATGATTTGGGAGATTTATCATTTGTTAATCATGTCCCCTCTACACGATTCATTAGTGACATTTGCCTGTGTCAAGAAAAAAAGTAGAATGCAAAACCAAAATAGGGGATTTGAACAGACTCAAAACTGCACATCTGCAAGTAAAGCACCAGACAAAAGTTCAGCACACAGTGGCAGGCACCAACAGGGCAAATATCTTGGGCAAAGCCTCCCAACCTTGATTAGGAAGATGGACACTATTAAAAAATATTTGTTTAATTGCTCTACCAAGCAAGAGAGCTTTCAAGTCCACTGCAACAAGATGATGTGACAAGTGTGGTAATCTGTATATCCAGCAGCTGGCAGCTTTCTTTATAAGGAACAAAAAGGAGAATTGACAGTCGTGTTAAGTGCTGTCCAGATGCTCGCCTACCACGTCACATTAAACACAATATCTCATAAGTCTCGCATATATGAATGGCAAAATAGCTGCCACTTTCTAATAAAAAAAGGCATTGCCAGCCATCCAGAAGATAGCAGGGTTTTGGCACTAAAACCAGAAATCAGAAGCGAGCCAAACTTCATGAGAATTGGATCTGCCTCATAAGCTTGGTCCATGTTTTGCAAGGAGAAATGTTTCAGGTCCTGCCTGATCTGAGGAGCAAGGAGACAAGATGTCAAATGTTTCTGAAAGGCCAGTTTATCATCCTCTGTATATGGATAATTCCCAAATCAAACTCAAGGAAAAAAATAAATTCATTTATAACATTCTTTGTGGGGGGATATAACTTTTTTCCCTATATGCAGGTACATGCTCTCTGGCCAGGAGATCTACATCCAAGGAAGATCAAAATAAAGCCAGACTGGTTCCTCTAATATCACTTCTGACAATGCTTAATCCTCAGCCACAAATGAAGATGGGCTAAGCTGGAAACCATAAGCCATCCTTTCTCCAGACAGAACAAAAGTTTTTATCCAGAGAACCATCCTATACTGTGGTAGATAAGTATCCTGCCACCTGTGAAAAGACTGAACCTAAGATGTACCCCACTGACTCAGACTCAGCATGCCCTTCTTGAGGTTATCTTGAGGTTATATTGAGATTATGTTGATATGATTTTGGGGCTTAGCGTCCCTGTGGCCTGATCCTCTACCACGCCTCCTTTTTGTTACACACCCCCAGGAAGCAGCCTGTAGCAGCTGTAACTCCCAGGTACCTATTTAGTGATAAATGAACAAGTACATCAGGGTGAAAGAAACTCTGCCCATTTGTTTCCGCCTCTGCCGGGGATCGAATCCGGGACCTTAGGACTACGAATCCCGAGTGCTGTCCACTCAGCCATCAGGCCTCCCTGCCCTTTTGTGACAAGGGCAGCACAGAACCCCCATCCTCTACACAACAATCCTCTTCTTGAGGGTCCCAGTAGTACAGTCGAGTTCGCTCTCGGCTCCCAATCGAGAATTCCGGGTTTGAGCCCGAGTGGGACAGAAATGGTTGGGAGGATTTCCTATAACCTAATGGTTCTGTTCACCTAGCAGCAAATAGGTACTCAGGAGTTAGACAGCTTATTGTGGAATTGCATCCTGGATGAGAGGGGGCAAGTAATTCAACCTTGGGGGGGAACTCGATATAAGCCTAACGTGAATAAATACACTGGCTGCCTGTCCCCGACACAATGAATTATTAATTACAACTATCTTGACATTGTGAGGGATAATCCAAATTTTTTAAGTCTCATAATCCAATGTGGGAGGATGGGAACCAATGTGCTTCAAGGCAGGTAGAGAAAGAGCCTGACCACCTTAAAACATAAAATACTGGTAGAAGAACACCCACCTACCAAACAAAAAAAATTCCAGGACTGAGGTCAAGCCTCATAAGATGATGTATCAATCAAGAGAAGCTAGATCCTCATCAAACATATGGAACCCTGTAAAGTATCGGAAAATCCGAGAACTGTGATACAGGGAAAATATTTCTTCAGTCTAGCTCTCAACACAGTGACAGCTTCATACACACTCCATTCTTAAGGTGGCTCAAACACAATACACATCACATGCACCTTTGACAAACACTGTTGGTAATTGCATTTATATATTGGTTTAAATTTACATTTATTACATTTTAATAAATATTTAACCCATATGGTGGTCTCATCTGAAAGGCCCAAAAATACTATATAGAGAAAATCAGTGCATTGCTATCAAAATAAAATTGGATGCATTGCCTTAATGTCAAATATTGAACAAGTTGTTACAGTACAGTATATTAAAAACAATTTCAATGCCCTTTCCCAAGGCAGTAATTTTTCAAATAAATATTCTTTGGATAACCAATAAAATCATTAGTTTAAAAAATTCACACACTGTATTCAACATTAAGTTAGGACTTGCCTGCTGACATTTGTCTCTGAGTAAAGACACGGCCGAGACCAAGTTGTTCTTGGGGCTCCTTCCACGTCTTGAAGTATGCTTTAAATACAGCCGGTTCCGCTTTCTCAACCACGCGTTGTACGCTCCTCCATTTGGGATATCCTTTCTTCTCCATGTAGTTGGCTAAAAATTGGATGTACAGTACAGTATTTTGAAATGCTGAAGTACCTGTTACTACTCATAAATACTTTATCAAGTTTCTTGTTCATTGTCCTGAAGTTTCACATGTATACAAGGTAATGCAATAGAATAAACCTCAGCATTTGTGCATTTGAGGATAAGTTTATTAAAAAAAGGTTCCAAGCCTTGTATTACTGTATTATAATGCTTTATAGTATGGCCTTCAATCAGAACTGCTTTTATATTAGGATATTATCTGCAATTGTAAATACTGTACATACTACAATTGCAAGATTTACCATATACATATTTATTTTAAAAATCTCTAGACTTAGCACTTTGATGTTAATTAACATTATGCTTTAACCTGCCTTACTTCTTGGCACTTTCTCATAATACAGTAATAACTTTCCTTACCTGCCATCTCCATGCTCTTGACTTTCTCCTTCTTGCTGGAGCCACTGCCAATCCACACGTACACCCCAGAGCCAGTGTCGAGAAGGAAGCAGTCCTAAAGAAAAGACGCATCATTACCAATCCAAGATTTTTTCTCGCTTGTGAAAAAGAGGTCAAAATTAATTAAACATTGTTGTACGTCTTTAAGATTAATTACTAATTACCATAAAAGGTGTGTGTAGCTGGTGGCCACTTATGATCACTCATTTTTTCTTGTTCATTATTTAAAATTTAAAATGCCATCAATACAATTATGTTTTTCAAAGTAATTTAATCTGGCAGCATATTTAGTTATTACCTAAAAGGTAAACTATGCATATTTCATTATTATAGTCATTTTAAACTTGGAGATTCAAAACAATAAAGATTTAATAATTGAACAATAAAACTAACCACTTAAGCAGGCTACCACCGACTACCATACAACAAAAATAGTCTTGTACAGATACACCAACATATACAGAGAGTATAAAGAAGATGGCTAAACCTTAACACAGTAATTTAATCTAATAGCACCAGTGATATTAAATAGTCATACTTGATGTATAGTGCATTTGACAATGTACTGATGAGGTTACCCTACTTGACAAATATTACTCTGCAAGTACAGTAGAAGAGGACCAGATTTCACAAAGTCCAACATATAATGTGGCATATCTTACGAAACAATAATTACCGTGTGCAATGATCATGTGTTAATAAGCAGCTTATCATATATTGGTTAGTAATTCCCATATAACATGTGCATATCCCAACGAGTACCAAGCCGTTGAAATACTTACCTTGTAATTTACCGGCCAGGTATTTACCCATTAAATTTACCCATTTATTTACCTTATAATCAGAGCCAGGAGCTACCTTCTGTCAACATCTTATATTACAAGTGTGTCAAGACTTGTAAAATGAAGGTAAACAAACAGGACACCTCCATTATTCAGGACTTGCTGCATTTTATAGATGTGATATGAACTTTTAATTTCTGCGACATTGCAACATCTTGTGAATCGATGCTGATCATTTAAGGATAATATCCACTGCATTTCATGTTTAAATTAAGTCACATTGATGTCCTAAATAATACAGCTCCCCTGTTTGTATCCTGGGTGTATAATAATGACACATTAAGTAATAGAAAATGCAAGGCAACCAGCCCCAAGTACAGTAGTGACATGTTAGCTCAAAAGTGCCATGATACCTTCACTTCCTTTATCAAACAAACAACAAAGCCACGGAATAATGATGTACATGATGAAATGCAAAGCAACGTGATGAGATTAGTTTTGATGCTATTTATGAGAAAACAAAATTTAAGACTCAAATGTGCCAATTTAGCCTAATATTTGTTACAATAATGCACATACAAACTCCAAAGACAAAGTCGAGTGGACTACACTCGCTAAATTTTACACATTTCATGAGCAGCAACTAAATTTCCTGGTTAAGAGAAATTCAATAACTGCTTGGAATTATTGTAACTTTGTGCAGTTAAGTTTGTAGTTATAAAACTGCATTTATAATGGATATGAAGTCAAATTTAGTAGTGTACATCTTTCACTAAAACAAAAGTCTGAAATTTCTCTACTGTCTGTGTTCACTGAAATTCTAATTACTCTGAAGATACAGTACCTAGGTTTCCTAAAATTTGACGTATTCTTAACTGATGCATTATGTGTGTTGAGTCGAGGTTTCATTCTTTAAAGTTGTTATATTTTGAACATTTCCAGCTCCCTGCAAGTGTGACCAATCACATACTTAACACTGAAGCACCTCACTGTCTGGCTGCCAAGGGAACAAGGTTGCTAAGCAGTTGAAGCAAATGATAACAAAAAACAAAACATGTCACACTGGAGTTTTACACGTGAAATTGTGTGGGCTCTTTATCAAAACATGTATTCACTGCTACTTTGCCCATGTCCTTGGATG